ACCCGGCCTTGATCCGCATCTTCTACACGTATGGCTCCTTGTCACGGCCAAGCGGCTACTTGCAAAGGCCGCATGAAACCTGCCTCAGCACAGAGATGATGTGAGGTTCGACAACAAATAAGATGCAAGCTCAGCACCCCGTCATGTGTGGGCTCCAAGCGTGTAGCCGATGCCTCGACCTCATTCAGAGCCTGCCAGGAGTGGCGGTGGCAGTTCCCAAACCCAGCTTGTAAGATGTATCAATGTCGTGTCAGTACTGGCTGGATCTCTCTCGCGCCTTGCCCCCCCCTTTTCGCGAGACCTAGGGCTGCATCCCAGGCCTGATGCAAGAGACAAAGGCACGTCTGCCCTTCACACTCTCGGTGGGTCGCAGATGCAAAGATGAGACGCCAAGACATGACTCATAGCTCTGCAGTCTCAACTGAGAGTCAGTCCCAGATTGAAGCGACAAGACGCCCTCGAAGTGTTCTCCCGCAAGGGGGTCTGGGCTCGGCCAGCAAACGTTGCACTATGATGCCGGCGACGGCTTATGGGTGACTGCTTCTGGCTACGGCCATGTCCTGGGAGCCTTTGGCCAGCCCATGATGCTAGACTGGGCCCTCACGGCAATCAAACGCAAGCAACAAGGATCAGCAGAACCGGCAACAATCTTGCTTTCGTTTCTTGCTTGAATCCCTTGCGCGCAAGCTCAAAGCTGACATGAGAAGAACGCTTTTCCGCAAGCAGACCTCTTCGATCTAGGCTGCGCCTTGATGATGAGTGTCAGCGGATTGAACTTAAGAGCCAGACGCTCCACTTTCGGTGACACAATCTTCATGTTGCAGTGCGTCTGCAGTTCAATCTGCATTACTACTCCACGTTGTAATGGTGATGCCAGTCTTCCTCACAAAACAGCTTTGAGAAACCCACAGGCATCCCTTCAAAGTATAAGCGCGCGAGGCTTTCAGGGAGTGTAGGTGAGCGTGAAGAAGGGCAAGCCGGCCTGGGCGAAGGACTAGCGCAACAGGACATGACCAGCACGGCTTGCATGATGCAAAGAAGTGCAGCAACTTTTTTCTCTTGCTGCAAGAACCTGCCGTCGTACGGCGTAGGCATCACCAATCCTCAGCTTGGCCGCGCAGCACGTGCCTTCTGCACTGTCCATGTGAAGCCACCTCTTATTCAATGTCAGCCGGGCAGCAAGAAGCGAACAAAGTTGTCGCCCCGCAGGGGGCCTACTGCCTCAGAGCGTTTGAACACTTGGCTGGCCTCATCTGGCCCTCTCTCGCAGTAACATGCATACAGCACTGTAACATACTGCAAGCGTGGTCTAGGCTTCACCCCAAGCGTCGAAAACACCAGGATGGAGCACCTCGGCAGCAATCGGCATCTGCAATGAGCTCTGCAGAATTGAATGAATTCGAACCCTGGCAAGGTCAGTGCACCTGGCCGGTCTCAGCATCTGCAAGCTGGAAGCTTGCCTGGCCACTCTCTCAACCACCGCCAGCAGCCATTTTGGAAGATCTACATGGCATCCACGCTTCTCATACAGGAAGCCAAGGAGCCTCATCAATGGACAAGAACTGCGGGTGGCTGCTCAGCTGCCCGTCCTTTCAGGAGCGGGGATTACAAAGAACTATTGTAGCACGACAGCTGTACGCGACATCCTTTATGCAGCTTTGGGGGGGGGACTCTCCCCTTCTGCTGTCCGTGCGATGCCGCGGAGCCCGTGGAGCTGCCAGCACTGCAGGGCGCAGCGATGCTGGCAGCCAAGAAACACTCGGAGCACTGCCCAAGAGAAGCGAGACGACGTTGACCTGATGTAGGCGACTAATGCTGCAAGGCAACTGACGGAACTAAGCTCAGAGCATTGGTGAGTTGCACTTCCTGGGCTGGTCCACGGATCCGACAGGTCCCGTTTTCATCAATTGCCAGGAGTTCCGACTCAGCCTCACGACTCAAACCGTTTCGCCAAGAGGGTCAGGTTCACTATGTTTCTTACACATTCTGCACAATAGCAAGGAGCTCTGCTGCTTCCAAGCTGCCAGCGGAGTGTAGCGGTCTTCCTGGACTGCGCCAACCATCAGTTGTGCAAGCCGCTCCTCCTCATCATACATAGGATTGCCTGTGTATGTGCCGAACCTGTGTCAGAGGACGTTTTAAGCCAATGGCAAGGCACAATTGCAAAACCACTGCAGTAAAGTCACATCTTGCCGATCTTGGTGTGCTTCGCTTTCCCGCGGAACCTGAGCTCAAGCGCAACTTTTGCAAGGTGAGATATACTTCGAGGTCACCTTGAATAAGCAAGCCCGCATCATCCAATCTGTCTTACAATACCTGACAGCTCCAAAGTCAAAACGATGGCAAGGCATGGCAAGGCCACAAATGCGGCAAATATTGTACTTACAACATTTTACCTGTCGCCCCACCCCCCCCCAGCGGCTAGTTAGCAGTTCGAGACTGCGTGAAGGATGAAGGTGCAACGTTCGCCATGTCAGGTCGCTGCTGCTGAGCAGCACATGGGTGACGCGAGCTTGGCCTGTCCCAGATTCGTGGATTCCCCTTGGGCCCTTGGGTGCACTGTGACCACCCACTTGACAACGCCTCGCAGCGCATGGAGGATAGCGTCCGCTGCACTGAGGCCAGCCCCTGAAGCTCATCAATTTGGCAGCTTGCATCTAGCTGCATAACTTCTGGGTTGATACGCACCAAGCTTCCATGACCACGTCATCACAGCCCCCGCGGACCGATCAGCAAGAACTCTGCCAGTGAGGCGCTGGCCGACGACAAGCAAGTGGCCTATCTTCTCCATCAACGCCTCATGCAGGCACAGCCAGTTGTGTTTGATACCAAACTTGTGATTTCGGTTACCTTCAACTTACTCCCCGACCAATCTCGAAGCGATGAATCACCGTGCATCCTAGCGGCTGGAGTGTGGATCGGGGGGCGGTGGGTGACCCAGGACAAGTCTTCACCTGTCCATGGCTCCCGGGCTTGAAACACCCGAGTAGCTTGCGGCAGTTGTACAAAGAGCCTGGGATGCCCAGTCTGACAGGAAGGTCTGCAGTCCCCATAGCCAGTACCACTGCTTTGGCCTCCACAAACCATTCACACACGACCCTCTGCAGCCCCCAAGTCTGCAGAGTCAACAGCGAGGAGTCTTTTTGCAAAGCCAGGCTTGCAAGGCTTGGACCACGTCTTCGTGGCACGCAAAGGCAGCAGCATCCAAAGCAGACTGGCCATTTTCAGCCAGCCGCTCGGTGTCGGCGCCCGCTTCACAGAGACACTGCACCATTTCGAGCTGTCCTGCCTGGGCTGCAACGTAAAGAGGTGTTGCACCATCTTGGCCAGCGGTGTCTAGGCTGGACCGGACCTCCACTAAAGCCTGCACCATCTCAGGCTGTCCACTAAGTACTGCAATGAACAAAGCTGAAGCGCCATGCTGACCAACCATATTTAGATCGGCACCGGCGCTTGCCAAAAATCGAACTGTTTGCAGATTGCCACTTTGGGCCGCTATGAAGAGAGGCGTGGCCCCATCTTCTGCCGCTGCGTTCATGTCGGCTTTGGCCTGCACTAAACAGCGCACCATCCTCAGTTGCCCGTCTTGGGCAGCACTGAACCTGAGTACAGGACATCAAGCGGATGAGCGAAACTTTGCATCCGGGTCATCCGGGTACCTCAAACACACAGACCCTTTAAGTGGAGAGGTAATAGCTTTGGCACCCTTGGACCAGGCCCTCTCTGTCCAAGGCGCAGAGCCGTGGCGCCGTGCAGTCCAGGCCCTTGTATCAGAGCACTCTAGAGCACATGTGTGGGGCCTTTGCAGCATGCCGACTTGTTTACAGCAGGGTTTGGCACAGGTTGATGGCCAAGCCAAGTGTCGGTCCAGCTCCACGGAGGCCTCTACCAGAGCCGAGACCTCGGTTAATGTCAAGTCCGGAGAAGCACCGCGTGTCTGGAATCTGTGCAATCTTCACTCTTCACAGCATCTGGATCTTTCACATCATTTCAGCAGCCTTATCATCAATGATGCTCAGCGAAATTGAACCACCTGCACTTGCCATGAACGAAGCACACCCAGTCGATGTAAAATGTTGCGCCCAAGGGCGGTGTCCGCCATGCCGCTTTGGACAGCGACCTGGAGAGGAGTGATGCCGCCTGGCCCCGTTGTGTCCTCACGCGATGGCCACGCAGACAAATTCTTCCAAGCACTGTTGTCGAGAGCGCGGTTTGTTGGCCCTTTGAAGTTTAAAGGCCTTTCCGCAACTCCTAGCCAGCATAATGTTGCCTTCTAGTTCATAGCTTGGAAAATCTAATTTCAACGTTGACAATTTGAGTTGAAGTGACTACGACTACGAGGTAGGGACTCCTCGAGCTTTGGAAAAGCTGGCGGCTGGCGGCGCAAACACTTCATGGGTTGGCGGTCCTTGTTGGCGCAGGCATCAATCAAGAAGCGGACCATGTCCACCTGGAGGGAAATCCGCCGAGGCCGGAGGCCGGGGACGTTCCAGAGACTAGAAGAGTAAGTCAACCCGCACCCATAGCCCCTTCCAGTGGGAACGTTTCGGGGAGGGGGGTCTGATCGGCTCTTTTTTTCGGTCTGAAATGAGGCCAAAAAGGGCTAGCGGTGGCTGCTCGCCTCAACCACACTTGCCGAGGCGGTCTCGCGTTAGCGTTTGAATTATCTGCCGTCCGAATCGCACACATACCCTGATATACAAGTAGACTTCGGGCTGCCTGGCCATACTTGGACGCGATGAACAGAGGGCTGGCTCCGTGCAGGCCAGCCTTGTCCTTGTGAGATGAAAGGATGGGACCGTGAAACACTGGCAACGGTTTTCCCCGAAGTCCTTGTCGGCACGCGCCTCAATGAGATACTGAACCGAGCTCAGCTGGTCGTACTTCGCAGCGATGGACAAAGGAGTTGCGCCGTGCTTCCCTGCTTTGTCCTGGCAGCAACAGACTGAGGCCAGGACAGGTCTACAATCTACGCGGCTGGCCCTTCTCAGGCGGTTCGAAACTGAATCCGATATGTCCTGACTCACTGCTCTTACTGCTTTGTGTTTTGCATCGCGCAACCCTAAGTCCTTGTCGGCCTTGGCTTGCACTAGGAAGCGAACCATCTCCAGCTGCCTGAACAAGGGTGTCCCAAAAATCTTGGAATCCTCTCCTGGAATTCCGCTCTAAACCTGTTGACACTTGCACTTGGCAAGGCCAAGCAACTCCTATGTTGCGCGCCGTAACCCACTGAAAAATCCCCCAAAATCCAGGCGACGTCTTTTAAGCACTGCCCACATAAATTCATTCTCATGTTCACAAATGCAAGTAATAGGTTCCAAGCTTCATATGTGCTGAGTGTTTCCCTAACTTCCCTCCCGGCATCACTGAAAGGTCGAGCTGCCCATGTCTTGCAGCCGTGTGCAGCGGGGTGCCATCGCAAACGCCGCTCTCCACCTGGAAATTGCCAAGTCGGGCTCTCACGGCGCGTTAGGGACCGTTACTGAGATGCCGGTGCCTCCGCGCGCTTGTCCACAAGAAGACGAACCTAGCTGCCAGCGATGGAGATGATCATCATCACTAGCTTTACTATCAGTATCATCACCATCAGAACTAGATACCACTAGAAGAACCAGGCTGCTACCTGCAGCTTCCAGAAGAAAGCATCGCATCAGTTCCATTTTGTGCTGTTGCTCAGCATGTTGGGGCCAGAAATTGCAGGAGATGTGCGCAAATAAGCCAGAAAGGCAGAGCCGGATAACTATGGCACGTTCTGTGCCGCAAAGGGACGTGTTCCAAGCATCCACTCTGTGCGGCAATTGACAAGGGAGTGGTCCCGTCCAATGCCTGCCATGGAGTGTGCGTGAACGTGGCAGGCAGCCAGTGCCGCTTTGACGTACACGCAGAAGAAGGTCGCACTTGCGAACAGCCCCTTGGGGCGTCCCGACTGATGCAGCCTAGATGCTGCTCGCTGCAGATCCGCACCAGCCTCCACTAAGTATCGGAAGATAGGCCACCTCGCATGTGGGAACAAAGAGACTTTTGTGCACACACTCCACCAACGACGCATGCTGAAAAGACACTGGTTGCTCTCGGCTGCCATAAGCAGTGGCGTCAAACCATCATTTGCAGCCAGATCCTTCTGAGCACCAGCGTTCCTCAAGTTTCGGACATGGATCCGTGTTTGAAGATGGCATGTGCTGGCATGTTTACTCTTGCCAGGGAGCTCTCTTGAGAAGTTAGACTGCTTTACCAGGATTTTGCAGTGGCTGCATCCGGCTCCGCTGAAAATCTTGACTGTTCCCGGACTCAAGTAGCAACCCAGGCACACTAGGCAGCGAACCATCTCCAGGTTGCCATACCTGCAAAAGGTGACATGCTTTCATGCCTGGAAGTCAAACTTCATTGCAACATGCCCGGAGCCCTGAGCCATGCCAAATGACTGCGTCAAACTCCAATTGTGCAGTGCAGCCCAGGGGCTGAGCAGCAACAAACAGCGGCGTCTCCCCGTGTTCGGCTATGGCATTCACATCCGCGCGGCCTGAACATGCTGCCCCCGTTTTACAAGAAGTTGAGGATACCTTAGTCCTAGTATGAGTCCTAGTCCTAACGAGGACTGAGCTCAGACACAACACGTCACCAATGCAGCAGTGGGTCAGTCGATGAGCAACCGGACTGAATCCAGCTGGCCATATCTTGACGCAATGTGTAGAGGTGTGAAGCCACTGTCATCCTAATAAGCAATGCAGACAAAGAGAGGTGGGGTCAAAGTTGAAGACAGTGCCAGTCTCACTGCTGCAAGGGACAGGCTTCTCAAAGTCCGCACACGCCTCGCCTCGGCAAAGGCATGGTCGTGGCTGCAGCTGCGCATGCCCGAGTGAATCACATTGGCTACATGCACCAAGTCGCGGCTTGCATGCACAGAAGCTGAATATACGAGCAGAATACTGCAACAGAGAACTGCAATCACAAAATCGCTGAGGGAGCTTATCAAGCGTTCAGGAGTGAGCCATGGCAGAGATATGCCAAGCGGCGCAAGGTCTGGAGGACAGCAAGATTACCAGCGCGGCTGGCCTGAAGGAGAGCACACACTGCTGGTCGCCACGGTGGCTCATGTGACTATGGGACATGATGGGACTTTTTGAGCGGTATTCGTTCATAAGGAGGGGGGAGGTCTGTGAGCACTACAATTTAAGGCTTATGATACGCCTGGAACTCTACCGACCTGTAAGCTGCCTGGATGCAAGAATGGTCAAATCAGAAAGCACAGAGCATACAAAGCCACCGTGGATGACCTGCCAATAGTCCCCAATAGCATGGTAGCTTTCATGTTCTTTTCCATTACTTCCTTCCCTGCTGGCCACAGGTAAGTTGTATAACCTCTTTGCAAACCTCACCTTCCATATCATTCTCCATGTTCTTTTACATTTGTTTTTCCATGGTGGGTACATTCCCTATTGATCCCTCTCTACCCCACACATACCCCTTATCAGCCTCTTTACAACTGGGTTGGCCCCTAAAACCCTGTGAAAAATATTAATATATAGGGTCCCCTATTAAAGCCATTAGGGAAAATATTAAATGCCCCAGGGGCCTACCCAGACAACCCCCCTGAATGGTGCGCCTTCCAAGCAGCGGTCTCACCCCGCTCGTCTGCAGCGTCAGGCGTCTGAAAGTTCAGCAGCTTGGACTCGGCCAAGCTGTTCAAAAAAGGGTTTACACGGGTGGTTGTCAGAATTATGGTCCCTGTTTGGGTACCCTAAATATTAAGTGCCATATAAGAAAATAGGGATCCAAAAAAGGGACCATCACCTTTTACAACCACCCACATGGGGACTATATGAGCCATAGTCTACGCTCATAGTATCCCCCTTAATAATCCCTGTAGTAGTCCCCTATAGAATCCTATCTATAATCCCCGATATAACCTTTCTCCAGACTCTTTAGAGCATAGTACATATGGATGTATGAGTGGCTGGAGAGGTGATATAGGGATTATATAGGGAATATGGGGGCTGTAGACAGGGTTTACACCGGGATCACGGGGGTGTTTAGGGATACCTAGGGGCATCATTTGGTTTAGGGATATTACCCCAAAAACCCTACGTCACATGAAAAAATAAATGGAAGCCACTAAAGCCAGAAAGCCGTGAGAGTCCCGGGGGATCCTAAAGCACTTGCTTTTCAGGGGGCACCTATCATGAGGATCATCATACGATGTGGTGTTCAGAGTTGACAGTCTTTTCTATGGGCCAGCGTGCATGGAAATTCCGACATCTTCAAGGGACAGCCCATGTCACTTCATGGATGGTAAATGGTGCCTTCCCGTCCCTCTCGGGATTTCATAGTATATTACCAATCGACTGTAATATGCTGTAGTATATTTGTAGCATATTGTAAAGTGTTGTTGTAGTTTATAGTATACTATTATATGTTATAACATATTTCAGGATATATTGTAGTATATTACCATATGTTATAACATAGTAGTATGTGAGCTATAGTCTAAACTCCTAGTATCCCCCTTAATAACCCCTATAGTAGTCCCTTATATAATCCCCTATATAACCCCCTTTAAGGAGTTTAGACTATAGCTCATGTGATAGTGTTGTCTAGGTATATGAGAAGACGAGCCAGGAGGCGGCAACCCCTTTGGCGTCCCCGGCGGCAGCCTCAGAAGATGAGTGGCACAACGCCGCAATCATATATGTTGGTCTTACCGGGTGTTAGTAGGTTTTGTTCAACCCCCTCGGACTTCTTGTTGGTAGGGTTTAGGGTTGAGGGAATACAGTATATGGGGATTATATAGGGATCATATTCCCTTATTCCCTTCCAGCCCGTAGTACATAATGGCTGGCTCCAAGCCAAGATGCTGCTGCTAGGAGCTTCGACGTGTAGTCTTCCACATAATCTGTGAAGATAATCTGTATCCTCAGGTTTCGTCAAACTCGACAGCAAGGTTCACTGTGGCAATGTGTCCAACCCACCCCCCCTCCCTGCAGGTCTGAAATCACCACTGCTACTGTAAGACTTACGCTGGTGAGGTTTAACGGCAATCATTGCCAGCCAAGGCTCTCATGAAACCCGTCGACTTCTTCCCATTCAGTGTCTTCCTTGCCAAATGCGGTTGTGAGGAAAGGTAGCATTCATGGCGGGGAACACCGCACCCACACAACGTTCCTTTATAATGCTCAGTAGGATTTCAGTCTGCGAGATGTGAATACTTACGAGGGCTCTTAGCGCTGCAAGCTTGCTTGAAGTGCTTCCTCAAGTCTTTAAGCCGGTCTCGGACCAAAGCTTTCACAGCAGCGTCCACTGTCTAAACCCGTGCGTTCAGTTAGATGTTTTCTTTTCTGACCACGGGGTCTATCACAGGTCCATGACTTTCCACGTCTTTTCCATCCCAGGCGCTTCAGAGAGCACTCTGCTACCATGCAGGAGCTGCTGCCGGAAGATGGAGACATGCCGCTCTTCCTGGTTGGAGGTTGAGGGCACGCTGCGGCACACTAAATCCTATATAACCCCTTTGTAGGTTTTTTTTATCGGACCTTTTCTCCGCAGCCCGAAGGTCCACGGAAATGCCCTGGGGCACGGTCCAGTGAGCTGGCCCTTACCACCAACACTCACGGCCTGAAAGCTCACACAGAGCGGCACAAGACTGAATCAGCCCACTGCCAGACTTGCAAGGCATGCCTGCGCTTAGTTAGCAGGAAAAATGCAAATTCAACGTCCCATGGTTTCAGGGCTCTTAACTTCAAGAAAGCTTTAGAAGACCATTGTAGGGTTTAGGGTTTAGGGATTCCCCATAACCCCTATAGTTTCCAGTTTCTTTTACATTTGGACAAAGCCCTGCCTTGATGCGGTACTTGATGGCGCTGACCGGGTCAAAGGGGCCCTGTATCCGCGGCGGCCCAAGATCCTCTTTGGCCTCGACCAAAGGCCCAAGGATCTTTGTGGCTAGGTTGCTCAACATGCAACATCCCAAGTGCGCTACCATCCGAAGGGATGTGTTTTGCAGAAGGGGGATAACTATAATAACACTTCAAGTAAACGGCGCCGCACGCTTGCTACTGAGGAGTCGCCATGGATCTACTGCATGCATGTACATGCCACAAGTTTCTGCAAGCCCCCTGGGTCCAGCTGCACCACCAGCTCGCCACTGAGGGACACAATGCGCAACATCTCTCTAGGTCAAAGATTCCATGGCATGCCGCAGTGGCGGTGCAGTCTCTGACTGAAGGACTCCATGTCAGATGGAGCCACAGAGAGTTGTTGTTAAAATGTTGAGTCTGGAGACTCGAGCAACACTGGCTCCATCATCCCGTCTGACTGTAGCAAGACTTACTGGGTAAGACCTGCAGCAACAGCGCTGGTTCTGTTGTGCGCGAGGAATGTTAGCTCAAGCGGAACTGACGACGTGCAAGGCATCGTTAGCGAGGGCCCAGCCCTTGAGCAAGGCTCTGCGGGATCTCTGATCATCTCACTGAGTTTTTTGGGGACTGCTTCTGCAAGGAGCTAAGATGGCCTTGACCTCAATGGCCTTGCCGCACGAGTCTACCTGGAATGCTGTCAGTGAAAAGTTGACTGGTAACAACTGCATCGGCAACATCCTCTAGAAACAAGCCAGAATCATCTCCAGACCACACAACTACTTCAGGCTAGTCATCTAAAGATGTCACATGTCATGATCACAACGGCCATGACGCCTGCCCAGGCCTCGTTTGAGGAGGCAGCAATCCTTGTGGCCACGCGAGGTTTAGCAGATAAAGCTTGTGACGCTAGGCGCCAGGTAATTGCCTAGCACCTGAAAACTCCCTGCTGTTATTACTTTCGGGATTCTGATTTCATCTTCTCGGCGACCATGCCGCTCGTCCAACAATGGAGGTCATGAAGCGCAGTCAAATGTTGTCCTCGAGGCTTGTCTCCTAGATAGAGCTGTCCAAATACAGGCAACCCAACAATTCAAAGACCCCAGACCCTTTTCCTGGGGCCTCGATGCCCATGAAGGGGTTCGGAGGTTACACAACGCTCAAAATACTTTTGGAAAGCTAGGCGTCCATCTTTGGGCAAGCAGTTCTGAAAGGCCTGACGCTCGGCCACTACCGGATTCATGGTCTCTTAATAATGAAGGTACCAGATGACGAAGGACTACAGAAATGCTTCAAGCCTTCCAAAGTTTTTGGACAAATGTCGCTGTTGTTTCGTTCTCGTTTCGAGTCCTCCATGTAGACGATGCAGAAACTCAAAATGTCTCTGCATGCATGGAATCGGACAAAGGCCTGTTGAATTGCCGACATCCCCATCACCAACCTATATGCCTTCACAGGATATCTAAGGAGTCCTGGGAAATCTGTGATTTTCAGAGCCATCTCCACACGAGACCATGGGACTGCAAGATCACTCCTGTAAGAAACCATGGGGTGTACAGTGTATAGGCTCACCAACCTACAAGACATGTACATTTGTATCTATATATTACATGATAGTATATGATAGAACCCACAATAATTACGAGGTCATTTGCACGTGAAATCAAGATATTGAAAGCTCATTCGCCTGGAAGACTTCAGGGGATCCTCCCTGCAACATAGAGTTTAGGTTTTATAGGGTTCGGTTTTTATTTGGTTTAGGGTGTAGGGGGTCCCAGCCACATACAACCATAGTTGTGAAGGAAAGGGCAGCCACAGAAAACGAAAGGAAAATAGGGTCTTCGCGTAAAATGTTCAAAGCATTGCCATACGCAACTGAAGGAGAGGGTCATACCATCAAACGACCATAGGCTAGATGTACAGGGTGGATCCCCAGTAAACTGACTGGCAAAGCCGACATAGCAAGGACGAAAGTTGGGCTTTAACTATGGCCCCATGCCGGCAGCCAAGCTTCTGCAGCTTCCATGATGCCTCACCATCTGGCACCATAGCTTCCACAGTCCCGTTGACAAAGGTCGAAGGTAGTCGATGAGCATAGGCAACGTAGTATTCCTCACGGTATCAAGCATTCCGGGTGGGAAATCAGTCTCACTAGGACGCTACAAGAGAGCGTGCTGCCATATGTTTACGAGACTGTTGGCTTGACAGAGCCTTGCCGCAAACGAGCCACGGCCACAAGCCACCGTGGCACACGCTCACCTGCCACAACCTGCAGCGCAGTACTGATAGAGGCTTTCAACATTCTCCTCTGCAAACAATGGAAAAAATGGTGCGGTGAAGGTTGATCCAGCCTCTGCAGGGGCCTTTCTGAGCAAACTCCGTGCCTTCGAGCAAGAACATTGGTGCACCATGAAAAGGTGAAAGTGTGGATAATGCACTCACAAACTTGCGTTGCTGAAACGCCATGAAGATTCTGGCCTCCTGAGATGCAGCGGGGCTCTTCAGGTGTTCTTCCAGAGAGTAGCCTCACAACAGGAGCGTAGTGCAAGGCAAGGCATTGTGCAGTGTGAGTTGGCTCCATCTGCTTGTCAGCTTACATCCGACCCGCTTAGTCGCTTAGTCATCCCTCCCCACACATGCAAATGAGAGCCCTCGGCTAATCAGCAGATTTTCATCCATAGCCGCTATCGTGCTACACAGGGTGACAAGCCTAAACCCTGAAGAGATTGGGACTTTTCTGCCCTGCCGAACCTGGAAGATCCATCCATGAGCCTGGTGACAGCGTCACCTGGGGCAGGAGAAGCCACCAAGAAGTTGACGGACATGGTTGAAGGCTTTGGGCTGAGGGAAGCCAATGTTGACTCCAGAAAGCGATCTTACAATAAATACCTCTCAAAAATCCTCAATCCCTCACTCGGCTAAGTGGCTGTCGATGGAGACATAGAGTGCCAGCTGCCGCCGGGCAAGCTGGTGCCTTCGGCTTGGAATACGGCACGGGTTTGTCCAATGTTCTGTGTTCGTCATGGTCATGAACACAGAATAAGCGCACCATCACCATGGACACCCGGTCGACTTTGGCGTCAACTCCTCAACTTTCTATCCTTGCAACCGGTCGCCAAGAGGCACCGATCACTGCATGACGCAAGGCCGGCCGCTGCAAGGGACGGAGAAGCGAGGCACCTCGACCGTCGCCTCATCCAGGCATGTTCCACGCAGGCATCCTCATGATAATACGGACAACACCACATAGGAGCACGGCCGCTTTTCTAAGCTGCAGGATGAATGCTCTTGCCTTCCGGATAGCGGAGGGCGTCGACCAACGCAGCCTGCGCAAGCTGCAGCTTCAAGTCAAGATCGCCGCGCTGTAACTGACAACTGCAGCGGATCTCCGAAAGCTGGAGCCAGCTGGTCACCACCCATTGACAGGAAGCTCGCACCGTGGGGTTCAGACAGCGCCGCTGAATCCCGGCTGCAAGGGGTCTCAGATCCACCTTCTGGCGATGCAAGGGTTCACTGGGTTGTGGGAAGCGTGCAGCTTCGAGCTGCTTGAAAAAGCTCTCAAATACGCTTTCATAAGAATGTGCCTCGTCGAGCGCCCGGCCGGCAAGCTTTTCTGCGGCTAGGCTGACCTGGGATTGCAAGTGGCAGGATCGTGTCGCACTCTTGCAGAGGCCTCCGGAGCTCAGAGACTCACAGACCCGCTGAGTCTCCAGCAGCAGCATCCGAAATGCGTTTCGCCGGTGTTGAAACCTCCAATACCTCCAAGTTCTCAAGCTTTACACAATTGCTACAGTACCCAAAAAAGGAATCCACCAAAGGACTTGAGAGCAACTCTGCTTCCAACATGTGGGCACAGCTCATGCTGCCTGGGGCACCATGCCGCTTAAAGCACAGGCCAGTGCCAAGCCTCAACACGGGGATCAGAATGGATGATGCAAAACTGAGTTTGGAAGCATCAGAAGAAATGGCAGTGGACAGCTCTCATGATACTCTTCCTGCTGCTTCTAAGCAGAAACTTGGGGCAAGGCCGCTTGGCCCATTGCCTGCAGGGTTTTTGCGGAGGTGTCAGGGGAAGTCCGGTTTTGAGGTTGCTCTTCTCAGAAGTACACCTACTGCCACTCGCACATTTTTACGAACCCTGTGATGTGATTGCGAAAAAGATGTGTACGTGCCCGGAGGCACGCGTGTACTTTATACACCGCTGCCATGCAAGCCGCATAGCGCATGTCCAATGTCATACCCATAGCAATGTTGGTCAATTTTCAGTGTCTGCCGCCTATGACGGCTACGTCCAGCTCCATCTCCGCCGATGCAACCAGGGCGGCGCTAGCGCGCAGAGAAGCTCCCATGTTATTCAAATCTGTGTTCTTGGCCTTGCTGATGCTAGGTCTGTGTAGGTTCGGGCAGGCTTTGTAGGCAATGTGTGTAAGTATCTCAGGGGCCTTACGCCGGGGAAGCAGGATTGTTGGATGCTCTTAATGGCTAACCAGCCTTCATTCGGCTGCGGCAGGAAAGTGAGTCTGCCAAATCGTTGAGGAGCCAGGACTTGTGAAGAACAGAACCCCGTTGATCTGATTTGGCTGAGAGACTGTCGAAGTTGAATCACAACAGCTCCACGCAGCTGGTAGGACATACCAAAAACTCCAAGAAGAGGGCTGCAACCCGGCTTCCGGTGCTCTCCAAAGCGAGGAGGGCCAGTTGGTCAATGCCTGCACAGGGAAACTCCAAGCAGAAGATCCCGCTCTTTTCATGGAAAGACCGCGAGGTGCTTCGTAGCTGCTAAGAAACTTGCTGCCAGTTTCGACTTTCTCGTGCGCGGATTGTGATGACAACCAAAGCAAACAAGTCAGGAATCTCAAGACAAGCAAACAACAACCAACAAACCCAACCCACCTAACCCTCAGTTGCAAACCACAGAAAAGGGACCTACAAATGTCAGCATCCGCGAGCGAATACCGCTGGGGCGTGGGCGCTCGGCAAGGCTCTGCTCACTGACCTTTCGCGGAGTAGATCGGGACCTTAGCTCCAGAACATATCCGCCTCCAACCCTGCATGATATTCTGGGAATTGCTCAGAACGACGTATCCCTTTTGTCTTGCGGCCATCCTACTATTTCACTGCTACCGGAGCCCTACGCAGAAACGAATGTGGCACCTTGGGGATCCTGTCTATCATCCCTACCAAGACACACCCCAATAAGTTGCAATGAGGCCTGCAACTAGGGTCATCTGCTTTTCCCCCCAGTATTCTACGGCTGCCTACGGCTGCCATAGTTGCACCTGATAAGGGAAACAAGATTTTGCCATGTGATTCCGGGAGGATCTTTTGCAAATCAGGGAACATCTACATAAACCAAGTTTGATCACTGAAAGCCCTTTTCAAAAGCCATACAAACAGCTACTGCTCCAGCATGGTCGTTGGACCCCAGGCGTGCGTGCGAAGAAGGCCGCAAGTTCTTTCCTTCCACCGAGGACTAGGGTGGACGCATGTAAGGGTTTTGCTCATTGTGGTACACCCGACACATCTCAGAAGACGTTGAGACCGGAAAGGACCCCTGCAAAAAGGTCCACAAGTTGTTGCAAGCCGCAGTTTCCAAAATCATGGTTTGCCAGCAATTTGAAACCTGCCCCTGTCCTCCGCGGCGTCGGGGCGTCCAGCTGGGATGTCAGGGCAGGCCCTGGCACGATCAATGGCTTGAGAGCGCTGAATACCAAAACCATTCCACGTGCAGCCTGTGTTCAAGTGTTTTACTGAATGTTGCACAGGGTTCTACAAGGACTTGACTGATTTCAACCAGGGGTTGGTTCGCAGAGCGTTTTTTCTGCCAAAACTCTTCCGGTGGCCGCTTGAGCGCATTTTCTAGGCCGCTTGATTGTCAGGACTTTTTGGAGCCCAGATTTGCGCACAAGCGGCAAAGGATGTCAATATCAAAGCAGACCTAGTTGTGGGCAATGTACACAACTCAAGTCGGCCTCTGCTTGGCTAACCGGAATTCTAACTGATCAGTGCGGGTGGACGGGCAGACACTAGATACTACTAAACCTGGCGCTGCATCAAGACAAGCACCAGTGGATCCATTTCAGGTTAATGAATTGCCCTTTGGGTTCCAGCAGCGGATCTTAGATGATTTGGGCTCTGGGATGTCAACTCTCTACCCCACAGTCATCTGCATTCTGTGCCTCGTGATCCATGAGCGAGAAAAACCCTAACTCGACCACCAACATATAAGTACGACAATTCAGCGTGCTGCAGTTGGGACAAAGTTCAACACGTGGTGAAGATTTGTTGCTGCTTCGGTTTGCCAATTTGTATGTAGCTTGCTTAGCCCAGCAAATGCCTGCACCGGGAGCAACAGCAGCCAGCGCGTCGTGGCAAGCCCTGACGGAAGCTGGGAGCACAAATGCAATCCCTGGAATTTCGCCGTGCAGCGTGAGCGGTTGCTGAGCTTGCAACCCTTGGCAGGACACCTCTAAGAAAGCCTGCCGAACACCACTGTGGCTGGTTGACGTAGCTAGAAAGCGCGGGCATGTTGGCCAGGCCGTTCAGAAGAGTAGTCTTCTGCAAGCTATTTCGCTCACATCCAAAATGACGTGCTTCGACTTGACTGCCCGCTTGCACTGGTCCGGAGCCTGTGGGTCAGGCTCGCCGCTGAACACCCGTAGCCGGAGCTTTGGGCTGGCAAAGAGTTCCACGTTTAATGCACATGCCAGACGTGAAGCTTCCAGGGTCGAGCACTTGGTGATTCATGACAGGAGCAAGTCATGCCGTCAGCCGTTAGCGCCAGCCATTGACTTTAAGATATTCAGCAATCGAGTGCCAGTGGCAAACGATTCCTGCAGGATTGTGCGATGTCAAAGCTATTTTCAAGCCCGCAGCCCTTGCCTGTCTTACCTAGTTTATGCCAGCCGTTCTGCAGAACAGATCCCCGTCCCTTCCCTCACAGTCAGTCGTCGCCTTGCACGCTGATCCGGATCCTGCATGCGGACGGATTGCGTTTTGATGCTGGCAGCTTTCCCTGCCATGGTCGAATCTGCTGTGTCTTTAGCGACAGTCAGCAAAGTTCTTGTGCACACAAGGATCTGGAAGTTTCTCAGGATGCAAGTCCAAATATTGCGCTTCCCGTTGTTGCACCGAGCAGTTTGAGGATCTATCTCTGAAGGAACTGTGAGGTAACACATGATGCTCTAAAACGTTCGTGCAGCCTGGTTTTGGTTCCACATCAGCCGGTAGAATGCTCTCAGAACCATAGGCGCCAGCTGCGGGTGGACCTCATACCTGAGCTAACATACGGTGGGCCACTGTTGCTCCCCTGACTGATTTGCCACAATCTTGCAGAACTGTTACTATGACTATTCTATGACATGCCATGACATGCTATTCTGTAGTTCCTCCTTGCCTGTGAATCAAGGGGTTTGTAGGGAAGAGAGGATTGTGTTGCAGGGGCATTGTATAGGATTATACTTCGTATTGCTGCATTTCCCAAAAAATAGCAAGAATTGAGACCGAAGCCGGCCCGGATCTTCCAGCAGCAACCTCCATACACCACACCCATGGGGGGCTGTACTCAGTGACTCACTGGAGGTTAGTAGGGAATAAGGACATGTACATGAACAGATTATACAGGGATTCTACAAAGGTGTGGAGATAATCTGAGGATTAGGGATTATATAGGGATTCTATTCCCGTAATCCCTACTAAGCACCGGTAAGGTGTATGTCCTATCGTTTCCTAGCAGCTTATCAAAATTACGGAGTCGAGTCCTCACGCCCACCCTAAACCCTAAACCCATTAATACCTGCCTGAAGTGACTGTCGCCTTGGCTGTTGGGCTCAGTCAGCTTGTCCAACCTCGAGGCTTCAGTTCAGCTCCGCTATCGAATCCCTGGGTTGTCCCTACATAATCCCTATAGAATCCCAATATGTTCCCTAGATACTCCCTATTGAACTCGATTTAATCCCCATAGACGCTACATGATCCCCATAGAATCCCTAGAGAATCAAGGAAGGCTCGGTCTGACTCACGGGGGGATCTAATTTATATGGGAGAACCTCCTTGGCCCTCTATCAGCATAGCAGTGACTAGTGACCCCACTGTAGTTCTTAGCTGAGGTCCCTGCAGCCCAGCGGCTTGAAGGTGCGGGCTCGGTGCCTGGGTGGCTATATGGGGGTTTCCCTGAATTAGGGGTAGCTTTTAGGGGGTCCCTATAATTAGAGATATGGTATATGGAGGCCTATATTGGGGGTACCCTAATTTTGGGAAACTACCATATCTGCTAAACCAAACATTAGGCTTGGCTTTGTTCAGGCAGACTTTGTTCAGGCAGACGAGGCAGAGGTTTCGAGCTGATATATCCGCCAATTGAAGCCTCCATGAGCGAGCTCTAGAATCCAAAGCCACTTCTGGACGGAATTAAAAGCTGACCATTGGCGAACACGCGTGCACATGACGTCCAAGCCATCCGATGAGGCACTCTGCCCTCTACATGTGGACGTCCTCATCTTGCCTGTAACTGAAGCATGAGGTTCCGCCGAGCAACGTTGAGATCTAAGTTGGTCGTCGGGAGCTCGGAGGCAATCCGCTTCAAAGCCTGGCTTTCACAGACTGCCCTCATCTGACTTGCATGTGCGCGCTTTGGATTCTGCCTCAGATGCCTAAGTCTCCAGCACGCTCATCCGTGCAGAATACAACTGGACGCGAGGCCGGTACCTGGACATGCAACCATATACACGAGGCGTCAAATCAAAATGTCATAGTGCGCTTTTGATGCCGTGCTTTCATGAAGCATGGAACGCTCTCATTTCCGCTCGCCAGACTGAGTCAAGAAAACTGTCCGCGTATGGTACACTGCAGCGCACTGGCTTGCCAACACAAGTGTCCGCATACTGAAAGGCCGTTCCTTGTCCCTTTCAGCGGAATGAGGCATGCTTAGAAATTTCCAGCTGAGGAGGCCCCCCCAGTTCAAGGCTTCAGCTCAGCTGCGATTCCTTTGCCATCAAGCCTGCCAGCTGATTGCACACTGCAAAGCAGCAGCCAGGTGATGCAATTGGGCCAACTCCACTACCATCACAGTCTGTAACTCCATCCTTACATCATCCCCGACACAGGTGCACGTCTCATCTGGACACAAATAAACCCGTACATAATCCATGCCGCTAAAACATATGAGTCTAGATGAGCCTAGATCAGGAAAGCTGCGCTTTGGGCTGGATTCGACATGAAGTGACGGAAATTATGACAGTAACTGTAGGATTCTACATAAACACAAACCTCAATGCTCTGAACAGACTCCGGCAGCGCCATGCCTCATAGCAACATGACCTGAGACCTAAGTCCTAAACTCCAAATGGTAGTTTTCCGAAATAGGGGGACGCCACAACAAACCCCGAATACTATGGTCCTTATTCTAAGGATGCCCAAAATATTACCCCTAATTTTGGGAAACCCTAAACCCTAATCCGTAAACCTTATATAACCCTATATATCTCCTATCTGTGTGTCTATATATACACCTTACCAAGCCCCTTTGTAGGTACCCCTACTTTTGGGAAATCCCCAAATCTGAAGAAATCCCCAGGTCCCGGCATCTCGGCCTTGGAGCCCTCGGCCTCCTCTGGCACCGGCGCCTGTCAACTGCTTCCCAGGCAACCCTTAGAGCTATCGTCTGAACGCCGTAAAGGAGGGATACATTAGGGGATTATATAATATAGGATTCAGGGTTTAGGGTCTAAACTCCTTAAAGGGGGTTATACGGGGGATATTAATGCAGACTACTATAAGGCTTTAAGGGTTGCTGAGGGGGATACTAGGAGTTTGTTTCGGGTCGAGGTTTTGAGGCTTGTAGGTGTTCAGAGGTCAGGGATGGAGGTATAAGGATTTGGTCATTCCCCTATAAACTATAATACTTATTATGGGAACCCCCAGAAAGGTACCCCACTGGTAACCCTCATCTTAATTTTGGGAAACCCCCATTGAGGTTCAGGTGTAAGGATGGGTCTAAACCCTACACCCCAAACCCTAAACCCACTTCTACAGAGCTCTTGCATGGTGGATTTTCGTGGAGCTTGGTGCTTTGCCTCTGCCAGGCCTGGGCCTCTAAGAGTCTGCGCAGGGCTAGCGCCAAAGCAACAGCCAACAGCCTCAGCTTCAGAATTACGATTGTTTACAGTACTTGTTCTCCGATGGCATGCGTCCCTTAAACATGCTTTATAGCACAGAATTAGGGTTTAGGGACCCACAGCCGAAAGTTCGGGAAACTGGTCTAGACCCAAGGGCTCTTGCCCTCTGAGGGCCACACCAGCAAGTTCCCAGGGCCGCCGCAGAGAAGGCAGTGCCAAGGGAGCTCAACAGGTCGGCTGCCAAGAACGGCTGCAGCGCCACCACCTGCTTAACTTGCCCAGCGGCCTTTATACAATGATTTGAACTGAGACATCTACGGCATGCGCGCTACATACAACATACCTTACAGCACCCCAGATACCTCAGGCTGTGACTGTTCTTTCGACCGCGTCCACGATTCCTATGGAAGTCGCACGCGCATGATCAGGAAATACGCGAACCTTCGCTGCCAGAAATGCTACGGCCGCTCAATTCAGATATCTGAGCTTGGCTTCCTTCCGTTTGAGTACCGCCGGATGCATTGACACATGACTGGCAAGATCAGCACCCGGCACAGATGGCATAGAACGGCGTACCTGACTTGACTGCTCCACTGCACCGGAGCCCCCGTGCCAGCATGCGCAGCGACAGTAGTTTGAAAACCCGTGGGCACAAGTGATAGCGTCCGAGGCAGCCCATGCAAAGTTGAGCAAGCTGAAGATTTTCAAACTTGGCCTGGCCAAAAGATCGTGGGGACATGCACGGAGCAGCAAATGCCAGCCATGGAGGCGTTTGGATTCACATCTTACGATCAAATTCCAAGCCACGGCATGATCAACATGATTCCATGCCTCGCCCTGCGTGTGGCTCTTTCACCGAACTAGATTTGAAGGGCTGCGTTTGGGGTATGCCGGCTGATGGGTATGCTGCTGTGTTAAGCATGCCTGAGGGACGTTTCTGTCTGCCAAAGGTACGAGAAGCCCAGCAAGATTCCTGCGAACGTTGCAAATCAATCTCGTTTTTGGGCGGCAAGACGCAGCCTCTAAGAACTTTAGGGAGGAAGCATTGACTCGGAGAATCATGCAAGGCCCGCTGACACACTACATGCCTGGGAGTTCTGACGAGCAAATGGTCAGCGCTCGAGTCCTTGTGCTAGGAAGCAACCTCCAATAAACACGTCCCATGACAGGATGCCCACTTGCATCATCCCCACGCAGAGGATGCACCAGAGACAGGTCAGGATAGCACCCCACCTGGGCTGGACGCAGCGAAACGATGGGAAACGCTCTCGTCCATGCATGGAACCCAAGCGAGAATCAATGCAAAGTAAGCAACACTTCTTCCAAAAAAGAGTCTCTGCCAAGGTTGAAGTGAGCCTACGCAGCATGTACAGGATTAGGCAACGATTTATGAACGTGTGACGTGTCCAAAGGAAGAGCCTCTCGCCTCCAGCTCCGGACCCAGCGAGTCCAGGATCCTCCCCAGTGCCATAGCCAGGGCCACGCCAGACACAGCCAGCCTCAAATAAATTCAGCTTGGCCAGAGTCAATGCAGGCCTGATGCTTACCTGGCTCTGCGTCGCTGATGAGTTTTTTCAGAAGCGAGTCGCACTCGCTCCAGCTGGTTCTGCCGCACGACTGCAAGGAATCCAGAGTTCAAGCAGTCTCGGAAGTCCAGGCCCTGCCGGCAAAAATGGTCGGGGGTTTTAGGCTTAGGTGGCTTGATGTTAGGGTCCCTGGTTTACTTCGCAACCACTTGTCCACCACTGCCGACCTGCTTGACAGAACCTGCCACCAATGCGCGGTGCATTTCTTAAGCCATGCGGCTTGGAGATCCTGAAGAAGCTGAAGCATCAAATGTCGTCAGCTTCTGATAGAGCTGCGAAAACAGTCTCACTCTATGCCAGGGCTCTTGCGCTGGCATCTATACAAGGTTATGAGTCTTCACACCTCTTAAAACGTTTCTTTACAAGAATCGGCTGCAGAGTGCGTTGTGCACATCTCTTGTCCGCAAAGTTCGTAACTCACACCGTGCCAAACTGCAAGCAGTAAGCAGTACTGCTTTTTGGGAATTGCCACAACAGGAGAGCAGAAAGCAGACCCGGTCAACGAGCTGTTGCTCTTGCTTTAGCGTGCGCACTCCAGATAGTAATACGCATTTTTTCGGTCATAGCACCTGCCGCTGTTGGGGGAGCAAAAGGCGGTACCGCAACCGCTGCAGCAGCCAGCATGCGGCCAGCTGGAGATTCCGTTGCTATTGCTGCCGCTGCTGCTGATGATGCCGCCACTGCTGCTGCCGCTGCTGCCGCTGTTGCCGCTGCTGCTACCAATACCAATGCTGCTCCGGCACTCCAAGTAGTAGTACTTGCCCTTCTGGTTGTAGCAGGTGCCACTGTTTGGTGAGCAGAAGGCGGTCCCGCAACCGCTGCAGCAGCCCGCATGCTGCCAGCTG